ATTCGCATGTGAACATATTTTATTTATGTTTTGTTTCAAACTAATTTCGGCGTTCTTTTATGGTTATATTATTTTATTTAAGCTGCCCTCTCCTTAATTTATTTTTAACTTACTGGCCCCTTTCAAACTTTTTTAGTTGATAAACCAAATCTGCGGCGACCGGATCAGAATATTGTTCCGGCCAGAACTCGAAGACAGCATTATCTGCATAGTAGTACGCACTACTAACCAATCAGCTATTGCGACAAATAAAACATTTATTAAATTTGAATTGAATTGAAGAAATTTTATATTTAGTAGTTATTTCTATGAAAAAGTACAATTTCCTTCCCACAGTGCTCTTTTGTATTTCTCAGTTTTGGCGTCAATCAGTTTCCTTGCTCTCATTACATTTCCCATATATTTCTAAGTTGTTGCGTTACAGAAGTTTTGAATAATTTAAAAGTGGCTCGCTTTTGGTTGATTAAATTTAAAGTTTAATATTGTGTGGACATGCATTTACACATATATGTATATATTGGTATAGAAAATGCTAACAACGAAAGTTCCACTTTTAATTGAGGCTGTTTGCAAATTATAACTATTAATCTTAGTTAAATTATATTAGACTGAATAACAATTCTATGAACCTTAGCGCCAAAAGAGCAGAAGCCAGCAAAAATGAATTTTTCGGTAGATTTGTACAGAAGATGAAATTTGTATGTATACGAAATGTTCCTCATAATGCCTTGAAATATTGGTGATTGATGATACCCATTATATGGTTAAAGATTTACATCGACAACAGAAAATCGCAATATTGTCACCTACGCCCTTATGGTGGTTAGAGCAGAATGTATTCACACAGGTTGTATATTAAGTAGTTAGAAACAAGTGCCGTAGTCGTAGAAGAGAAAATAATGGTACACACACTTTGATTCTTTGTTACACCGGATTTTTGACGTGACGTGACCTGCCGCCCTTTCAGCAGGATTTCTCAATCGATCTCAGCAAATTGATTACTCTCGGATTGTCACTCCTCAAAAATCTCTCCGAGATTATAAAACCAGCTTTTACATAGTGGACTGTGCACCATTTGGCGTCTTTTGATATCAACTCAGCGAAGCCTTGTGTTTTCACTTTAAAGAAGCTTATCTTTAAGATGCACAAACACAAGAGCAGTCTTTATCCATAATAATATGCCTCAATCAATTCTAATGTGGGTTGTTTTGAGATGAAGTGTGCTGCTGCTTATGCGATTATAGCCGAATTTATAACATTACGCCATTCATTTCTTTTTTTTTTTTGCTGTTTGCGGCCAATTGGAAATACCAAGTATATCCAGGTCCCTCTCTATCTGGTCTTTCCTACGGAGTGGAGGCCTTCCTCATTCCTCTCCCTTCACCGCCGGGTACTGCATTGAATACTTTCAAAGCTAGCCTAGCCAGCATAGCCATTGTCTCTTCATTCGCTGAACTATGTCAATATCATCACATAGCTTGTACAGCTCATCGTTTAATCGTCTGCGGTATTCGCCGTTCCCAGCTCGTAGAGGATCATAAACCTTACGAAAGCCCTCGAAAACTCTTAGCGTTGACTCATCAGATGTTGATTTCGCCCATGTCACCGCACCATATAGCAGCACGATAAGAACGAGAACGTTCGTCGAGTGAGAACTTTACTTTTCAATTGCCTACTCAGTCCACTCAGTCACTGCCAGACAAATATCCTTAGCTTTCTTATCCAGTCTGGAGAGAGCAGATCTCATGACTCCTTCTTAAGACTAATAATGTCAATATCATCGGCGCTATGCTTGACCCATTCTCTGTTCATCGACGTAATTTTTTTACACACACATTTTCGATTTTGTAGCGTTAAGGTGCTGTTAGTCGTCTGAAATTTAATTTCCTGGGCAGTCAGACAATTGAATTTCAATTTCTGGAAAGTAGCTTATTTCAGAATAATTGATCAAAACTCTTATTTGAAAATACTAACATCCTTTGGAGCAATTGCAAGAGAAATAAGACTTTCTACAATCGAACAGCACGAGCAATTGGAAACTTAATTTCAGAAACCAAATTGCCAATATGTGTATGAGTTCAGGATAGTCACACACCACAGTTTCGTGACTCAAGTCTTGAATTGTCCCATAACGCAGTGCAACATTTTTCGGGTCATCGAATCCGACAAGTTTTACGTTCTTAGCTCATAAAAGAATTTGAGAGCATAAGTTTATCAAGCGTGTTTTGTGCAACGAGATAAAATAAATTTAGAGTGAAAATATTTTTAAATGCAGAAAACCATTCATAATTTTAATATGCAAAATACAAGGTGCCCAAAGCTCGACGATTTTTGCTATGTCTGTGATCATATTGTGCCGAAAACAGAAAATCAGGAATAAATTAACATGCTCAACGAGAATGAAAGCCAGTAATGTGGATGTGATGAATACCGACAGAGACATGATGAAACTAGTTGTTATGCATGCTTCAACTCTACTCTAGGATTAAATAAGTGCAAGTTAGAAAAAGAATATGAATATATTAAATTGATCTAAATACTAAATAAAATCCAATAAAACACAAAAACAACAAGTCCACCATTGGGTCAGATATAATAATATTCTAGCTATGTATGTGAAACCACATATCCTCAGCATAATTACTTAAAGCTTTTAACGCTGGTTGCCGTGGGTTATTGTGTACACCTGTAGAATATAATAAAAAGCACATTGCCTTCAGCTAGACAGAGAGCTATCACTCATTTCCAGTAAACACTTATGTTTGTATGTATGTATATATGTACATAAATATATTTATGCGTGAAGTTTATTATTAAGATCTTGCAGAGCCTGAATAAAGAGAAAATGTTTGCATTTAGGGTGTTTATTGTTTGGCATAGTATGCCACTCCTCTCACTTGTAACAGTAAGTTAATTGTATTCCAATGTTAATATTTAACATTATCTGCTAACGATTAAATCTTACTGACAGCTTTTCCTTTCTTTAACGATAAAAGTTTCAAATATTTCATTCGAATCGATGGAAAAATTTTTAATTATCAGGAAATTTAATTTTTATTTATGGTCAATCAAAACGTTTTTCCTTAAAATTAATTTTTTCTGAAAAGCGTTAACTTTTACTGAAACTAATAAATAACTCCCCGAAGTCAATGACTGAAAATCATAAATAACCCATTCACTCAGTTTTTAAGATATTTCAACCAAATTTGGTACGCATCGCATATATTTCCTCCTATTTCAGGGAATTCTAGTCAAATATAACGCCTTTAGGGCAAATATGGAAACGATTTTACCACTCGTAGAAACTTACTTTCCGCATAGCATTTTATTAATTTTTTTTAACAAAATTTGCTAAAATTTTCCTTTTAACAAACAGACATCATCGAACTTATAAAAACAAAGTCAACAATGACAACAGCTGAAAGCTTAACCATACTTCAGGGGCATGTATATACTCGTACATATATATATATAAATAGTATGCGCTTTGAAATCGCTCTTACTCCAGTTTGTAGTTGTTGATTTAAAGTTTTTCAAACAAATGGAGATACCTACAGTTTATACTAAGCTGCCTCTGAACGGCTGATGGTTTTTATGAGGAACCTTTATTTCATGTCTCAAATACATTCGGAGGGGTTGACATTTCATTTCTTATATTTTTGGAACCCAAATCGTTTGAAGCTAAAAAAATGTATTTGGCACTACGTACATACTTGCATACAAACATATATATATATATGTTCCTATTTGTTTTGCAAATCTTATATTCATCTGCCAGAAATAAGCAGCGGCTAATTAATTGAGTATGGAATAATCATCAACTAATTAATAGTGCATAGAGTTCACAACAACATAACAACATAAACTTAAAACCGCATATTTCAGAAAGAAGATATTTCACAGACGAATTTACATTCAACATTTTCCACTGCGATGGTCGTGCAACGATGTGAAGAAAGCCAAACCGAAGTCGATAAAATTAATGATAGTTATTCTTTTAACACTGATCATACCAAGACTTAATATATACCTAATTCTACCATAGCGGGTCAAATGACCCGACTTTATGTTTCATGCTTGAATGTATGAAATATGGATGTTAGGAAGGAAATAAAAATGTAAATTAAATTTATTATAATTAAACAAAATAGTATGTTGAGCATTTATATTACAAAAGCGAAAAATAAAAATTTTTAATTCAAGTACAATTATCCGTTGTAAAAATTTTCGATGAAAATCGTTCCATATCATCTTTCTTTTACTTCGCTATTAGTGGTAATTATCATTTAGTTGACCGAATAGTTCCAACTAGCGTAGTTTTTTTGACAAGGAGTTGTGTTGCTAGGGATTTGCTTGTGAAGAATTTGTCTGTGGTCACAGTTCTTCCGCAACCCGTATATGGCTCAATGAGTTTGAGTACAATTTATTCAGAGAGTCGTACTGAAGAGGGCCTATATTCATCTTTTCCAAGATATGGAAGTGCATTTATGACGTATTTGCTATCGACGTCCGATGCTAACCATAATTTGATTCCAAATTATCCAGCTTGTTAGGCATATATTGCGTAAATCTACATCGTACTTTAGTCGATTTAGTATATTTAGCAATATTTCACCTGGTTTGTAACAGTTTTGGCTGTTCTCAATGAAAATATTCCAAATTGCAGATACCACAGCGAATTTATATGTTTTCAAACGTTGGCTTCGCTGACTTTTTTTTATCAAAACGAAAAAATCTAAGAATTTCGGTAAAATTATTTCTACTCATAGTTTCAGAAAAAAATTTAGGCCCCCATATGTTATTCCACAAAAAGGATATATTCAAATTATTTACTCCATATGGAGCTCGAGCACATAAAATTGCAATAAATGCATCTAATTTTTTTTTAGATAAACTCCAATCAGAACCTAACACTATCTTTGCTTCTTCTATTGTGTATGCTCTTCTATGGTTCATAATACGGTGGTCAATTATCAATGAAAATGCAGTACTAACTTTACCTTTCATTATATGACGTTTTGCATTTCCTGTTGGGCCTACTTCTTGCCTGAAAATGTTATGAAGTGGTGCTCTTCCAGGTGTGCCACCTACTTGTATTTGTTGCCTAACAGATCCACCATTCGCAACATTTTGTTCATTTATTTCTACTTCACTTTCTTTTGAACTCTTATTTCTTATTCTTTTTCGGCCACCACATACATTCACAATATTTTCCTCTTCATCGTCAGTATCTGTTGAATCAAACTCATTTTTATTTTCAACCAATATATCTTCTATTTCAGAAAATTCATCTTCACTAATTTCTGAAAACTCTTCGCCAATATTATTTATATCTTCTAAGAACATGTACTGTCTTGTTTGCTTCGACATTTTTCTGGGTAAAAAATTACCTGTATTACTATAGCTATCAAAAAAAAAATATATAAGCTAGGTACTTACTAAGACTTTCAATTTTTGCCACTTTTTCTTACACTAAAAAGCTATTTTCAATCTAAAATTTGATATTTTCCTGACTACAAATATGACTCGATAATCTCATAAACCAAAAAATTCTCTCCGAGTCAAATGACCCGTTGTGGTAGATATCGGTATACAAGAAGGATTACTCAGAATAAACAAAACAAAACAAATAAAAAAACTTTTTTATAACTGCATATTAATTACTTAAAAAAAGTCATAAAGTCAAATGTGCAAACGTAATAAAATTATACGTGCATTTTCAATGCAAAAGTCCAAAATCATCACTTGACCCGTTATGGTATGTTTAGTGTTAAACATGGAGTTGTCGTAGGCATGGTTTGGGGGTGAATGGCGCCATCAGGCGTTGGAAACATAATGTTCATTGATGGAGTTATGAAGAAAACGATTCTATATAAGACCATATTAAAAGAAAACTTGCAAGAAAGTTTACAAAAGTTTAATCTTGGGAATCAATTTTATTTTCAACTAGACAATGATCCCAAGCACACGGATTGTGATGTTCGTGTGTGGCTTATCCATCACATTCCCCAGCTTTTGCAACTCATCCTCAGTCACAGGACTCAAATCCGATTCTACATTTGTTCAACAAACTTCGACGAAGGGTGGAAAAGCACCAAGTAACTAGCAAAACTAAACTGAAAGAAATTCCGCTTCAAGAATTGATAAATATTGGCTATGAAGTGACCGCAAAATTAGCGTAACTTTCAATGCCAATCGTGAAAATTAAATCTTCAATACCCGCTAATAAATATGATTTATTTTCCTTTGTTAATAACAACTCTTGCTGTGCCAAAACTTTTGTCCACCGAAATACGTGATTTATTTGAATTGTTATAATAAAATAGTTAAAAATAGTAATTGCATAAAACTTGGTATATTTGTTAGAAAACATTCAGTTGATTATATGGCTAATTCATTGCTTTCACCTAGCTCTTATAGTGAATGAGTGTCTATTAGTTTGACGCCTGTGGTATTGAACGGCCCTGCTGAGTTGCAAGTTTATATTGCAAGTCACATATGTTCACCTACTCACTCGCCTAATACACAATCTGTACGTACTCGACAAGTAAATGGCAAAAATTATTGCTTCATTGTAATTCTCATCTCTAACAGGGCATAGGCAATAGCATAAAGAAATTGTTGGGATCACAAGGAATGACAAAAATTTGCGGCATGAAGCACTTTTATTTCCGAAAAAAAGTGCATTTCACGTTCGAAACGCTCACTTTATGTTGATATGTCCCCTTGCTGTCAATTGCTTAACGCGTATAATTTTCTTCCCGTACAAAACTCAAATACTCATCCATGCAGCATTTATTCTTCTATTTTTCGCAAATTCGACAAGCTACGAATTTCCTCAGGGTGAAAAAAAAACTTGGTTTTCCTGATGCTGCTTTTGCTAATGGAACATTTTAAGTTGTAAAAATTTTTTTCTGTGAGACACATAAATTGAAACTTAAACTCAACAGTAAGTAGGTGAAAAAATGCAGTGAAATATAATGGCAGATGAGATCGAATAATGGGAAGATAAAGAAAATAAAATCAAATTGAAGCGATATTTTGTAGTGACGTGGATTTAAATTTGATGAGTGTTTGTCGATTGTAAGGCAAGATCTTAAAAAAGCTATCTCTGCTCTTTTATTTGCGATTTTCGGTAGCCTTATCAATAGTCCCGGTGAAAGAAAATCATTTATATATTTTAATAGCATTTATAGCTTCGACATTTTTAAGTTATGCGGCAAAGTAAGCGAAACTAAAACATTTCATGTTCAAATGGTTAACCTGTAGGTAGGGGACTCCAATCCAACGATTTTTATGAATGCAGATCAAGCTGCAATAGCTCTAGAATCGGAGACATACCATTTTGTCAAAAGAAAATACAACCACCTGAAAGGCCCTAGGTTTTTAATTTATGAAGGAAAATTTCAAGCAAAAGGTGACTTCTTGTATAGCAGACGCAGTAATCGAATTACGGCACAGCATGTTTAATCAGACCAGACTATTCTTTTTAGACCGTAGATGCGTTTTAAATAAAAAAATTTTATTTTCGTACGTGGCAGAAGTTAAGAGGAAAACTATCGAGACGAACTGAACAACGCTTGGTTGCGAATTGTATGAAATGGTTGATATTTCAATATCAATTTCAGTTCTTGTGAATTTCCCATGCCTTGTTATTCAATGTGTACGAAACAATTGCACGTTTTTGACTTCTTATTGTAGCACTTCAAAAGCCGATTAAATTTTATTTCTATTTTTAAAATGCTTTCAAATATATGCAGTCATATAAATCTATACGTTTTTTTCGCAGTTGATTTTAAAAAGTCTGAAAATTTAATGCAGTGCCGCTCATTTTATAAGCTCTAAGGCACAAAGATAAAAATTGTCACCCGAAATAAATATATAAAAATTTTTCTCTCTTCTGTCGTGTCCCAAACATATCACACGAAAATTTATGTCAGTGTCAGATTTTTTGGTTAAGTACAATATATTAAAATTTCCACCTACAATAAGAAATAAAACAATAAAAAAGAGCTGGAAGAAGGATCGATGTATATGAGGGGGCTGTAGAAAAAAATTATGATCATTACGATCGTGTCATGTTCAGTGCCTCATTTTTCTTATTTATAACAATCTTATATCCGTTTGGATAAATTCCGTCCCGACCGATTGTCTTAAAATTTCTTCAGATTGTTTCCATAGTTTCTTGGAAGGTTTACAAGAAAAATTTCGCGAAATGGACCCGGGATTTAGATTAACAGGAGGACTCTTCTGTCCGGAAAGTAGAGCAGGGACTGACCTACTCGTATAACAAAATCTGTTTTATGGTTCTTTTTTCTTTAAATTCGGTGCATACGAGGCTTTTTGCTTGGATGAGCAGAAAAACTGCTCTTCTCCCTGCAGTAAGTAGTAAGCTAACTATTTAAAAAGTCAGACTATTCCTCTCTCCGTGAAGTGGACCAATATCAATGATAAAACCGAAAATGTTGTATCCCACCCACAAGTATTGGGTTAATAAAGTTATGATAAAAAGGCAGCCCATGATGATTTTTTATACATTCAATGAGTGTGTGGAGCAAGGAAGCGTTGCAGTAATTAATAAGAAAATTCCTTGAAGATGACCCGAAGCCTAGGAGGAGTATCAAGGAGATCACTTATCAAAATTGTTGAAAAAATAGTCTACGGACTAAAGAAGATACAACTAGCAGAAATGGTTGAAATTTTTGAAATAACATTTTTTTAAATCCAGCACGAACATCTTAGCATGACTAAAGTCACCGACAGATGGTTGGCGAGAATGCTCAGCCTTCGTTAAAAAAAGGAGCACCTGAGTGTTCACTTTCATTTTTGGACCCCTATAATGAAGGCAAAGATTTTGTATTGAGTTTGAAAAGTTACTGCGTTCATCGATTAAAAGATAGAAGTCAAGGGGACCAATGTTCAAAATATTTAAATTCGTTTTATTATCCTTTTTTATCGCACATGATCTTTTGTTTTATTTAGTCGTAACTTAAAATTTTAATAAGTTTTTCGTTTCCTGAATTAATTAACCAAGATTTTTCACTTTCACTTTTTTCAAATTCATTTAATTAAGATTAAACTTTAGTTTATTTATATATTTCAATTCGCAATCTATGAACACGAACTTTTTGGATTCCTGCCACTGCTCTGTAATGTTGAATATGAGGTCAGCTGTCATCGCCGACAGGTGTTCGGACTGTACACATGTTCTTATTTTTTCGATTTTTCAGCATATCATCTCCTCTATGCTGGCACTTTCATCAAGCGAGATCGGTAAGTGCGAATTGTAGATAACAGAGAGATGTTTAAAAGAGGCACAGTAGTGGCTAAAAAAAAGGCTAGTGGCGTATATAGAACTTTTCCTAGATACATATATATACAAATATATACATATACACCAAAAATCATTCGTGTAACAATGCCTGTTGATGCAGACTTTCTAGTTAAAAGGCATGCAGATGCCAGCGAGGTTGTAGTTGCTAAGCTATCAAATTCTACTTAAGCTGTTGGGGAAACTGTCAAGGCGAGAGAAAAAGCGTTCTCCCACACAAATTTGAAACAAACGATAAAAGCGAAGGCTAAATTTAAGTCTAAGTGCCAAATATAGTATTTTTGACGTCTGTGTGCTACCGAAAGTTGTTCCTCTCCCATGCGACTGTTTCCGTTTTCCGTTGTGCACCTGTCATCCACCATCCACAATTGATGGGCAGTTTGCGGTTTGTTTGTATTGTAATTTGAATTTAACGCCGATGGGTCGAGATAAATCATTATACTGATTGGGCTGTGGTGAGGAATATACGCGTTCGTACTGTTTGTACTTTGTATGCATGTCAACAGACCAAAATTTCGAGGTCAAGCGGGGGCATATTTGTGTATGAGTCTATATACAAAGTAACCAATATTAAATCTTTTATTTAATGCTCAGTGAGGGATGGGCTCATGTGAAATCCCCATCGTAGCAAAATCTTTCAATATATCGTTGATTTGCGCAAAGAAATTATCTTTGGTACAAGTGTCGGAAAAATCAGCATCCACAAAGAAACACACCCTAATAAGCTAGGCTGACTGACTTCGCCGGGGTCCGAAATACGGTTGTCTGTATATATAAGAATTCATCAAGCTACTTGGATGTCCCCTGATCAAAAATCACAAAATCAGATCGATCATGTTGTAATAGATAGAGACATAAGAAGGTTTTACATTCTCTTGAGTCTATTTCCACTATTTTCAAGGGGTACACTTACAGTTTATTATTTTAACCTGCCTGCAATTGGCGGGATGATTTTCATGTGAAGCTTTTACTTTTGATCCAATAATAATTTAAGTTTAAGTTTAAGTTTTAAGAAAGTTAAAAAAAAAATTATTATTTT